CTAACTGTAGGGGAGACACAGAGCTTGTCGGGAAAAATGTCACTGTAGGGTAGACACTGTCACTGTAGGGGGAGACACTGTAACTGTTGGAGAGACACAGTTAAGTATATACAGTGCTGCTAGGGAGATACAGTGCTGCTAAGGGAGATACAGTGCTGCTAGTGGGATACAGTACTGCTAGTGGGATACAGTGCTGCTAGGGAGATACAGTACTGCTAGTGGGATACAGTGCTGCTAGGGAGATACAGTACTGCTAGTGGGATACAGTGCTGCTAGGGAGATACAGTACTGCTAGTGGGATACAGTGCTGCTAGGAGGAGATACAGTACTGCTAGTGGGATACAGTGCTGCTAGGGAGATACAGTACTGCTAGTGGGATACAGTACTGCTAGGAGATACAGTGCTGCTAGTGGGATACAGTGCTGCTAGGGAGATACAGGCTGGTGGGATACAGTGCTGCTAGTGGGATACAGTGCTGCTAGGAGATACAGTACTGCTAGTGGGATACAGTGCTGCTAGGGAGATACAGTACTGCTAGTGAGATACAGTGCTGCTAGGGAGATACAGTGCTGCTCGTGGGATACAGTGCTGCTAGGGAGATATACAGTACTGCTAGTGGGATACAGTGCTGTAGTGGGATACAGTGCTGCTAGGGAGATACAGTGCTGCTAGTGGGATACAGTGCTGCTAGTGGGATACAGTACTGCTAGGGAATACAGTGCTGCTAGGGAATCTGATGCTGCAGGTGGGATACAGTGCTGCTAGTGGGATACAGTACTGCTAGGAGATACAGTGCTGCTAGTGAGATACAGTACTGCTAGTGGGATACAGTGCTGCTAAGGGAGATGCAATTGCTGCTAGTGGGATCTAGTGCTGCTAGGGAGATACAGTGCTGCTAGTGGGATACAGTGCTGCTAGGGAGATACAGTACTGCTGAGATGCACTGCTAGTGGGATACAGTGCTGCTAGGGAGATACAGTACTGAGTGAGATACAGTGCTGCTAGGGAGATACAGTACTGCTAGTGGGATACAGTGCTGCTAAGGAGATCGAGTACTGCTAGTGAGGATACAGTGCTGCTAGGGGAGATACAGTGCTAGGGAATACAATACTGCTAGTGGGATACAGTACTGCTGAGAACTCTAGTGCTGCTAGGGAGATACAGTACTGCTAGTGGGATACAGTGCTAGGGAGATACAGTGCTGCTAGGGAGAATACAGTACTGCTAGTGAGATGCAGTGCTGCTGTGGGATACAGTGCTGCTAGGGAGATACAGTACTGCTAGTGGGATACAGTGCTGCTAGGGAGATACAGTACTGCTAGTGAGATTCAGGCTGCTAGTGGGATACAGTGCTGCTAGGGAATGCTAGTACTGCTAGTGGGATACAGTGCTGCTAGTGGGATACAGTGCTGCTAAGGATACAGTACTGCTAGTGAGATACAGTACTGCTAGTGAGATACAGTGCTGCTAGGGAGATACAGTACTGCTAGTGGGATACAGTGCTGCTAGGGAGATACAGTACTGCTAGTGGGATACAGTACTGCTAGTGGGATACAGTGCTGCTAAGGGAGATACAGTACTGCTAGTGAGATACAGTGCTGCTAGGGAGATACAGTACTGCTAGGGGAGATACAGTACTGCTAGGGAGATACAGTGCTGCTAGTGGGATACAGTGCTGCTAGTGGGATACAGTACTGCTGAGAATACAGTACTGCTAGTGAGATACAGTGCTGCAATGCTGCTAGTGGGATACAGTGCTGCTAGGGAGATACAGTACTGCTAAGGAGATACAGTGCTAGTGGGATACAGTGCTGGGAGATACAGTACTGCTAGGGAGATACAGTACTGCTAGTGGGAATCTGTGCTGGGAGATACAGTACTGCTAGTGGGGTCACAGTGCTGCTGGGAGATACAGTACTGCTAGTGAGATACAGTGCTGCTAAGGAAGTCTAGTACTGTAGATACAAAATACTGCTAGGGAGATACAGTACTGCTAGGGAGATACAGTACTGCTAAGGATACAGTGCTGCTAGGGAGTACAGTGCTGCTAGGGAGATACAGTACTGCTAGTGGGATACAGTGCTGCTAGGGAAATGCAGTACTGCTAGTGAGATACAGTGCTGCTAGGGAGTACAGTGCTGCTAGGAGGAGACTGGTGCTGCTGTGGGATACTGTGCTAGTGGGATACAGTGCTGCTAGGGAGATACAGTACTGCTGAGACTGATACTGCTAGTGGGTGGGATACAGTGCTGCTAGTGGGATACAGTACTGCTAGTGGGATACAGTACTGCTAGTGGGATACAGTGCTAGGGAGACAGTACTGCTAGTGGGATACAGTGCTGCTAGGGAGATACAGTACTGCTAGTGGGATACAGTGCTGCTAGGGAGATACAGTACTGCTAGTGGGATACAGTGCTGCTAGGGAGATACAGTACTGCTAGGGAGATACAGTACTAGTGGGATACAGTACTTAGGAGATACAGTACTGCTAGTGGGATACAGTACTAGTGGGATACAGTACTGCTAGGGAGATACAGTGCTGCTAGGGAGATACAGGTACTGCTGGGGAGATACAGTACTGCTAGAGATACAGTGCTGCTAGTGGGATACAGTGCTGCTGAGGTACAGTGCTGCTAGGGAGGTACAGTACTGCTAGTGAGATACAGTGCTGCTGGGGAGATACAGTGCTGCTGAGATACAGTACTGCTAGTGGGATACAGTGCTGCTAGGGAGATACAGTACTACAGGAGATACAGTACTGCTAGGGAGATAGTACTGCTAGTGGGATACAGTGCTGCTAGGGAATACAGTGCTGCTAGGGAGATACAGTACTGCTAGTGGGATACAGTGCTGCTAGGAGATAGTGCTGCTAGGGAGATACAGTACTGCTAGTGGGATACAGTGCTGCTAGGGAGATACAGTACTGCTAGTGGGATACAAGTACTGCTAGGGAGATACAGTACTGCTAGTGGGATTCTAGTGCTGCTAGGGAGATACAGTACTGCTAGTGGGATACAGTACTGCTAGGAGATACAGTGCTGCTAGGGAGATGATACAGTGCTGCTAGGGAGATACAGTACTGCTTAGGGAATACAGTGCTGCTAAGGAGATACAGTGCTGCTATTGGGATTCAGTGCTGCTAGGGAGATGCAGTACTGCTAGTGAGACTCAGATGCTGCTAAGGAGATAAAGTACTGCTAGGGAGATACAGTACTGCTAGGGAGATACAGTACTGCTAGGGAGATACAGTACTGCTAGTGGGATACAGTGCTGCTAGGGAGATGCAGTACTGCTAGTGGAACTCAGTGCTGCTAGGAAGACTCAGTACTGTAGTGGGATACAGTGCTGCTAGGGAATACAGTGCTGCTAAGGAGATACAGTGCTGCTAGGGTGATACAGTACTGCTAGGGAGATACAGTGCTGCTGGGAATACAGTACTGCTAGGGAGATACAGTGCTGCTAGTGGGATACAGTGCTTCTAGGGGAATACAGTATTGCTAGGGAGATACAGTGCTGCTAGTGGGATACAGTGCTGCTAGGGAGATACAGTATTGCTAGGGAGATACAGTGCTGCTAGTGGGATACAGTGCTGCTAGGGAGATACAGTGCTGCTAGTGGGAACAGTGCTGCTAGGGAGATACAGTACTGCTAGTGGGATACAGTGCTGCTAGGAGAATACATTGAAAAAGTAGGGACAGGAGAAACAGCCGTGGTGTGGTAGATGTGGTTTGGTATAGGTGTGGTGTGATATAGGTGTGGCGTGGCATAGATGTGGCGTGGCATAGGTGTGGCGTGGCTTGGTAGATATTTTGTTGAATGTGGTGTGGTAGATGTGGCGTTAAATTTGGTATGGTGGATGTGGTGTTGAGTGTGGTGTGGTAGATGTGATGTTGTGTGCGTGGTGTAGTAGGTGTGGTGTGGTGTGAGATAGTGTGGTTGGTGTGGTGTAGTGTAGTGTGGTGGGAGACATGTAGTGTGGTTGGTGTGTAAGCAGGTCTGAGCACAGCCTCACAACAGCTCTAACTTCCCCCTTTCACCGACCCAGGACGGAGAAGCCTCGGGCATTGGCCATTCCTATTCTCACTTGTACGACACCACTTCTTGTTTTCTATGCCAGAGCGACAAAAACTCGATGGTAAGTTGTACTCAGCATCAAAAAGCCAGCTGGCAGCCCGGCTTACACTGGCCACTGTTGTGATATGAAGGATTTTTCAACCAGTCACTGACACTTTATTGAAAAGCCTTCCATCATTGTGCGCGATATAAGTCACAGTATTCCCTCAATTATCAAAGGTGGCCACAGTGTAGTGGGGCTCCCAAATGGTCTCCATAAACTACCTTCCTGCTGGAGCAATGATGCAGGTCTGCACTACTAGTATCGTCAGGTGCCCGTCTTCTTGCTCCTTGTCTTCTTGTTTCTCTGGTTATGTCCCGCCGCTCCGAAGTACCATGAGTCGGGGCCCACAACAGTGCCATGTGTTAGTTTTTTGTAGACCAGTGTTGTGCTGCACTACCCATTCTCTTGTCACTAAGCAACGACTATCCTTACAGTAAGTTAAGTAATGTTTTTCATAAGTGGAGATTATTCGTTTTTATTTATACGGGACTTGTGTGTAAAGAGTACGAAGAGGACTGGACTGGGGAGTATTGACAGTGTACAAAGTGGTGTGGGCGAGGTGAAGGTACAGCAGGTGGGGCGACGGGGCGTGTGCCCATTGGTAGGACTTGCTTTCTTTATTATGCATGTTGACTCTTTCTCGTTCCTACAGCCTGACTGCTTTTCAGGTATAATCTTTCTTCTTAGATCTGTCACTGTGAGTTCTTTAACTCCTAAGAGCTGTGTTTATGCTCAGAGTTAATCAGGTGTTTAGCTTCATGTAAAGGTAGGCCGGCAGGCCGGCGGAGCTTGGTGCGTGGAGCGAGGCTGAGGCCCGGCCCACCACACGCTCCCTACCTGGGCCACACTTCACTCTTATCATTTGTTGGGTCTTTACTTTCAGTTATGTTCCGTGTTTCCTGCATTATGGAAATCGGCTGAAGCCTTTTCAAATTTTCCATTTGCGAGTCTCAACCCGGAGGTAATGATGAGTTTATAGCATTTTCTAGATAGCTTTTGTAGGATCATATATTAGCTGGGTTCTCCGGACTTTGGTAAGGCTTCATAATAACCTAAGACTTAATGTGTTACTTTCTATAATCAACTCAAGTAACCAGCTAACCATGAAGGTGGGAGGTGTTGCTTTTATCTTACCAAGTCTAAGGAAGGATCAAGCTGGGGACGCTCACGGCTGGGGACTCCGGCGTGCAGTGTTCAGTGGCGTCCTTCCTGGGAACCGACCAGTTAGTGGCGGCGTAGCGCTTCTTGGGGTCCCGCTCACCACGTAGACCTTGTAGCCCACAGGCTTGTTTAACCCACGGCCCGCCCACACTATAGTCATCAGACTACTGCACAGTCTTCCAGACCGTCAGCAGCTGGCCCAGCTGAGCGGCAGCAGGGCACTGTGCAACTGTAACAGTAGTCATGTAGTTAAAGCCCGTGGCAACACTTGTTACCATTAATGCTAACATTCATAACCAGGCAACTTGGCTCCAGTCATCATAAATAAGATGATCAGAGTATCAATCTATGCGTACATAGATGCACCGTTGCCACCACACACTGCTGTAAGTTTTGATATACCACAATACTATAATGTAACATCCATTGACGAGGGCAGGTAGCGGACCTTACCCTGACCTAAACCTGAGGGGCCCTGGTTACCATGTTCCCATACCAGCTTCCTCACTCCCCTTAATCCCTCGCATAACTCTAGTCCCTATCTGATGGTGTATGTCTTGTGTTTCTCGTCACCTCCCCCTCACCCCCACGGCAACTCAACCACCAACACACTGCCTCCACACCTGCACCCCACACACTGCCTCACACGCACCCCACACACTGCCTCACACCTGCACCCCACTGCCTCACACCTGCACCCACACTGCCTCCCACACCTGCACCCCACACACTGCCTGCACCCCTGCCTCACACCTGCACCCCACCTGCCTCACACCTGCCCCACACTGCCTCCACCCCACTGCCTCACACCTGCACCCCCACACTGCCTCACCTGCACCCCACACTGCCTCCTGCCCCTGCCTCCTGCCCCCTGTCACCTTAACGCCAGCATCACCTGCTTACGCTTAACATCGCACCTGCACGCAGCATCACGCTTGCATCTGCTCATATCACCTGCTTACGCCCATCACCTGCCTTATCACCTGCCCGCATCACGCTGCCTCACACCTTAACTCACCTTAACACTGCATCACCTGCACCCGCCTTATCACGCCTGCCCATATCACCTGCCCTCACCTGCCCGCACGCGCCTTCACCTCTTACACGCCTCGCACCTGCACACCATATGCACTGCCCCACGCTGCTCACCTGCTTGCTGCCTCCTTGCCTGACCTGCTGCTCTTGCTTACATACCTGCTTCACCACGCATGACATCATATACTTCGCCGCACATTCCCGCCTGCTTACCGTATCACACATGCATCCCATATACTCTTGCCATCATCACCTGCACCACACACTGCCTGCACCCATCATCACCTGCCTCCTCCTGTTCCCATCCTCCCACCTGCCCCACACTCACTGCCTGACCCTCACTCCTACACCTGCCTCACTCTCTGCCCCCACCTCCTCCCACCTGCACTCCCTCCCTGCCCACTCCTCCCACATACACCTCCTCCCTACCCACCTGCCTCCTACCCCTACCTCACACCTGCCACCTGCATCCCACACACCTGCCTCCCTGCACTCCCTCCTGCCCTCCCTCCCTGCCCACCTCCCTCCCACCTGCACCACTCATCACCTGCCCTCCTGCTGCCCCACACTCCCCTCCTGCCCCACCTCCCTCCCCACCTGCTCCTGCCACATCACTCCCTTCCCACCTGCACCCACTCCTCTGCCCACTCTCCTGCACACACTCCTCCACCTGCACCCTGGCTCACACCCCTCCTCCTGCATCCTCCACACTCCTCCCCCATCTGCTCCTGACACACTCCCTCCCTGCACCTCTCCCCACACACCTCCCTCCACACCACTCCCTCCACCACACCACACACTGCCTCACCACACCCCACACACTGCCTCCCCACACCCCACACTGCCTCCTGCACCTGCACCCCACACACACTCCTGCCCCTACCGTGCACCCCACACACTGCCTCACACCTGCACCCCACACTTCCTCCCCGTGCCCACACTTCCTCTCCACTTGCTCCCTTTCGCACACTCACCTTCCCTGCTTTCACCCCTCACACTTTTTCACTTTCCTTCTCCTTTCACACACACTTCCCTCCTTGCCGCACACACCCCTTCCTCATGCCTGCACCCACACCTCCTTCCTCCTTACACTTCCTCCTTGCACCCACATCCTCTTCCATACCCCACACATCCTCATCCTGCACCCCACACACTTCCCTCTTTTATTCGCCCCACCTTCCTCCTTTCTGCAACCCACACACCTTCCTCATGTCACCCACACACTTCCTCCTTACCCTTCATCACACCCTTCCACGCTGTCACCTCTTGCCCTTCTATCAGGCCCGCACCCACACTTCCTCACCACTTCCTCACCGCACACAGCCCATCACCCGACCTTCTTCCCCGCCCGTTTCACCGCACACACCTTCCTCTTGCCCACTGCCTCACACTGAACCCTTAACCTGCGCCTCACACAGTGCTCTTTCACACCTTCCTCACCCACACTTCCTCACTGGGCCACTTCTCATACTGTGCCCCACCTTATCAAACCCGCACACACTTCTCATCTGCACACTACACACTTCTCGTTCCATTCCTGCACCCGCACACACACTTCCTCATACCAGCACCCCTCACACTTCCTCGCACCTTACCCATACCTTCCTCGCTTGCCCGCACCGTACCATCATTCCCGCGCCCGATCATCTCGCCTGCCCACAGCTGTTGCCTGGCATTACCTCTGCTATCGCTCCTGACCAGCCATCATGCGCCACAGCCGTGACGTGCACCCACACGCAGCTATCACGCCTGCTTACGGCTTCCTCACCTGCTTCCATCGAATCGCTTACGCTGCACCTCGATCGCCCAGATATCACCGCCACGCAGCCATCACCGCCCTGTCACCTGCCCCCACACAGCTTCGCACCCACGCGCACATATCCGCGCCCCACCGCAGCCTCACCTGCACCCACACACACTTCATCACAACCCCACCACACTGTCTTTTGCACACGCTGCTTTCCGCCCGCACACACTTCCTCAACCACCCCCACACTTTCTCACCTGCACCCCACACACACTTTCCTGTGTTCAAACCCACTTCCTCACACACATTCCTCACACCACCCCACACTTCCTCAACCCTCGCCCCACACTTTACACCTGCACCTCCACACTCACCTTCCTCACACTTCCTCACTGCCTACATCTCACACCTGCACCTCCCGTCCTCACCTGCACCCCACCTTCCTCACCTGCATACATTCCTCATCTACCCGTTCTCCACACACTACACTTCCTCACCTGGACCTCCTGCTTCCTCCCCTACCCCTACTTCTCACCTGAATCCCGCTTCCCTCACACATGTTTTGTCCCTCACACCTGCACCCTACACGCCTTCCTCTTCTCTTCACTCACCTGCTTATCACCTTCCTCCACCTGCCCTACCTCCTGCCTCCTTCATCACCTGCCCTTCCTCCTGCCCTTCCTCCACACCTGCCCTTCCTCACCTGCTGCCTTCCTCCTTATCTTACACACTTCCTCTTTTCCACACTTCCTCACCATCACCCTTCCTCACCACCCACACTTCTCACCCACCCCACTTATCAAACCACACATTATACCTCCTTCCTCTGCACCTCACCCCCTTCCTCACACCTGCCCTACACACACTTCCTCACACCTGCCTCTGCCTTCCTCCCTGCCCCACACTTCTCTTTCTCTGCCCTCACACACATATCTTTCTCTTTCCTCCACACAGTTTCCTCCTGCCCTCTGCTCACCTGCCTCCACACTTCCTCCCTGCCTCACACACTTCCTCCACCCACCTTCCTCCTGCCTCCTTCCTCACCTGCCTTCATCACCTCTTTATCTTCTTCCTCCTCTTATCTTACCTTCCTCCTGTCTTCCTCTTATACCTCCTTCCTCACCTGCCCTTCCTCACCTGCCCTTCCTCACACACCCCACACCTTCCTCACCTACCCCACTCCTCCTGCCCCACACACTATCACCTGCCCCACACACACTTCCTCACCCTGCCCCTCCACACCTGCCCAGTGCTTCTCACCTGCACCCCTTTTCCTCCTGCCTGCCCCAAACCACACTTCCTCACCTGCCCCACCTTCCTCACCCCCACCACTTCCTCTGGCTGCCCACTTCCTCTGGCTGCACCCACTCTCACACCTACCCCACTTATCACACCTGCCCACAGACTTCCTCACCCACACCCTTCCTCCTGCACCCACCTTCCTCACCCTTACACTTCATCACACCATCCTCCTCTCCCTTCCTCACCTTCCTCACCTGCCCACCCCACTTCCTCCTTCCTCTTTTACCCCATACACACTTCCTCCTTTTACCCACACACACTTCCTCCTTTCTTCCCTTTTACCTTCCTCCTTCCTCACCACACCCCACACTTCCTCCTCTTTCCACATTCCTTACAC